ATGGTTCCGTCGGCTGTTTGGGCAAAAGGCTGATGGTTCGAGGATTTGGAGGTTTAGGGGTTTGGATAGGGCTGGGCACCGAATTTCGCAATACCCAGAACTGGGAACATGCCATGCTTCCCATGGATGTATTTCGCCCAGGAGCCGTATCATTTAAGGCTTTAAGGTCCTTTACAGAACAAGGTAGACCTTCTGAAGCTCGTACCGGTTTAAGGGCATAAGGGCTCCAGTTTCATTCTTAGCAACACCGACGTCGCTTTGGCCAAAAACTTCAACTGAAGCTCCTCTAGTATTGCGGTTCAGGGTTGAGGGTTCTAGAGTTTAGGTTTTGGCTGTTGAGTGCGTCCTGTAAGTTTTACAGCTCAGACCTAAAGCTTGACCCAACCTGCCATCACCAACCCAGAGCCAATTTATAGTATCCTTAAGGGAGGGGGGTCCAAGGGGGGTATATAGCCTAGTGATCCCTAATTCTCCCTAGTACTCCCTAAGGTTCCCTTACAGTCCCCTAAGGATTCCGGATACCCTCCCCCCCTGAACCACCCTCCCTTAAGGATCCTATAACCAATGCGCAAAGCAACGAGCCATACACAATCTTCATAAACGCCACTTGTGCAGCATCACGTCTTCAATCATGAAGCCCCAGCCGTACGCCCAAAACCCCTGAACCTTAACCCAGAAACGGGAGACCTTGGAACCCGAAACCCTAAGTTCGAAGCCCCCGCCTCTAAGCTATAGTCTCCTTATTTTTTTTAAATCTTTGTTCATATAAAACCCAAGAGAATCTTACACATACTATTTCTATTATGGTTCTAAGGGGGTATAGTCATGTACTTGAGGTTGCATCCGGCCAGACAGCAAAGTTCGACAGTTTTGGAGGGTCTCTCGGCAGAGTGGATCGAAATCGGCGGGGTGTTGGCCAAAATCCTACACCGTAATACAGAGGCCTAAATAATTACTCCTTATTTTAATTATAGAATAATGGGCCCAAAACCCTATTCTAATTATCAAGGCCCCTACATTACAAGGCCAAAGCCCTAAAGCTCTAAACCCCCACGGCCCGAAGGTCTCTAAGCGCGAAAGCCTGAAGTAGGGCCGTCGAGTCTGAGTTTCCGAAAGCGTTGGGTTTTCTCAAAGCCGGGGAGCCTGGAGGGGGGCGCTAAGGCTTGGAGGTTTAGGGCATTTAGGGTTTAGGAGCTTTGGCTAAGCCCTAAACGTAGCTTTCAGGTAAAATTCCTTTGGAGGGTTCGAGTTTGGAGTGTTGGCGGGTTGTCAGTTCAGCGGTCCCGGATTTGGGGATTTGGTGTGCGTTGTTGCGCAGGTTTCGGATTGCGGGTGTCGTTAAGCTTCAAGTTCTCTGTACGAGGTTTGCATTCTTGGGCAGCTGCGCCAATTCGGATGACTTATTGCGCCGCTGTTACATCGTCTTCTTCAAAGGGGTGTTATTTTGGATAACGAGAACTGAAGTGCAAGAGAGTTCAGTTCAGGGTAGCCGGGTCGAAGAAGGACGGTTTTACGGTCAGGGCTTAGGGTTCAGGGTTTGGGTTGGGAGTTCAGAGCTTAAGGTCTGGGGTGGCGTCTTCAGGGTATTCTTAGAATTCAGCTGACACATTAGTATGTTATACTCTACAGCCTTTCCTGCTGATATTTAGCCTGACCGCCTTTGACTTTCGGGTGTGGGGGCTGTGAGCGCCGAAGAAGGTGTGGAAGCTCTGGAAGTAGCCAGAACAGTTGGATAATATTCGAAATATAGTTATATTAGGCCCTTTATACTGTTACTGTATTGGGGCAGTACCCAACCTATACCCATCTAAAAGAGACGCAGCCTCCAACAAAAAGCCCTCAGCATCTCGCCAAGTTAGAGCCGACTTTCAAAAAGGGCTCTGACACCATGATCTTCGACTTCAGCAAGAAGGCGCTGAGATTGCGGGCTTGGGGTCCAGGTATGTCTCAGGTTCACTTTAGGGCGTCGAGAGTTCAGGAGTCTATGGCTCTAGAGTGCACCGCCATGGGATCGGACCGATCCTCCGGTGCTTTCTTGCGGGAGTTGAGTTCGAGGAGGGTTTCAGGCGCCCCATCCCTCAAATTTCTTGCCAGGGGGGTCCAAAAAACCTCAAGGGCAAGTGGGATGGCGACGGCATCCTCTTTGAAGACGGCAACAAGTGGAGCTTTGGCTGAAGCAGTTGCGCTTAGGGTTTTCAGGGCTTTAGGGCCCCTGTGAAGGATGCTATAAGGGTTCTTATAACGGATTCTATAAGGACCGGATTTGGGTAGGACCTTGGGGTTTAGGGTTTCGATCTTGATCTAGGGTTGATAGGGTTTACGGTTCTTGAACAACGTATTGACGAAGCTCTAGCGGCTGGAGTTGTGACTAAAGACGACGCCCTCTGCTTCTAAGCCCTAAACCCGAAACTGTAAGACCAAAGCACTTGACCCTAAACGCCAGCCTGAAGACAATGCTTTAGCGCTTAGTATTCATGCCCCCCGCCCGAGGAAGCGGACGATCAAGTGAATAGTCTGAGCCATGGACGATTCCATGCACGGCTCGGAAAATCAACCCCCAATTCGGGCGCTTGCTGCGGGGAGTTGTCTGTTTCGAGCATCAGGGATTTGGGGTGCTTTTCTTGTTGCAATGGGGTTGTCAGGCTTTCGAGGTGTAAGGCATTAGGTTTGAGAGTTCGGTTGTCAAGGTCTGCATCGGATGTCGTGTGCAAGGTTTGCAGTTTTGTCAGGCTCCTGAGTCTGGAACGTGAGCTTGAAGACTTTCTGGTTTATGGGTCCGTTGGGGCTTTCTTGGGTGAGCTAGTTCGAGACGGGCTGCTGTGTTTGTTGGTATACACGTGAATATTTGTTAACTAATTTTCTGCTGTTGCTTACGTGTTTTGAAGCTCAAATGTCGATTGTAAGTTGAGCTCCTTGTTTTAGTCGAGCTCCTCAGTTAAGTTGAGGTCCTTATTTTTTAGTCGAGCTCCTCAGCTAAGTGGAGCTCCCTAGTTAAGTGGAGCTCCTTAGTTTTTGATCTTTATTGTTTACTCGTGATGTTGGCGAAGCACTCCTACATCTGGACTCCAAATCCGTGCACCCAGATACCTTGAACCTACCACGGGAAACTGACTCCCCAAAATCCCGAACCCGAGATCTGAAGACCTTAAAAACCCATAGCCCTCAAACACCAAACCCTATCTCAGTCTCGGTGAGACACATGGCCCTGGCATCCGTGGCGTAAGATTTGGCACTCTGGGGTTCGCACTTCGGTTCTGGGGCATGGGACTTCGGCTCCGGACTGGAACTACTTACCTTTGGTTAGTCGGGAATGGAGGAATGGGGTACAAGTATAACTACTATTACTACCATTCTTCCATTCCCTACTAACCAAAGGTAAGACTAGGGGGTTTCAGGTTGAGGGTTGAGGTTTTTGGGTTTAGGGGTCTTTTTTTTGAGGGGCAGTTGAGATTCCGTCGAGGCTTTGGGTAATGTAGGGGCCTTAGTAATTAGAACAGGGTCGTGGGGGGTTTATTATGATGATGATGATTATTTTTATTTTTAAGGCCGCGAAGCCCTATTGAAATTATTAAGGCCCCTACATTATGGTCTGGGGTTTAGGGTTTAGGGGTTCTTCAAGGTAGAGGCTCTTGCGTTTCAGGGTGTAAGGTCTTCGGGGTTTAGCGATTAGGGTGCCAGCCAGGTAGGTTTGAAGCTTCGTCCGACCAACACAGCCTTGATCCTGAAAGCCCTAAACCCTCTAAACAGTTCCTGAACCTTCATGCCTTTACCCTGAGGTCCTTGATTCCTAAACCCTCAACCCTAAACTAAAAACCTCCAACCACCTTCCCGTAATAGTACTTGCACGGATCATGATGAAAATGTTGACAACATCCCTAAACCCTAAACCCTAAACCCTAAACCCTAAACCGTGGGCGATAAAGCGGAATGGTAATGACAGCACCAGACAAGAGGTTTTCTAAACTTCCAAACCTGCAATTCTCCGTTAGGGATCACATCCTAATCGAGACCCTAGGCTCCTAAACTTAGTGATACGGTTGATGATAAAAATCCTGCATGACCCATAATAAGGAATATGCCATAATTCCCATAGTCTAGGGTCCTTAAGGTAATGCAGGATTTATATCATCAACCGTATCTCGGTGCTCTTTTTGCTGAGCCTCCTTCTTCGCTTCCTTCACAACACCCATCAAGGAACGACCTTACCCAACACTTCTTCTCGCAGCTGCTTTTATTTAGTCGGGCTCGGTGGCCTCGGGGCCTGCGGCGTGCAGGTGCCTCTAGCACAGGGATCTTCGAAGTTCCGGACTGTCCATAAAGGGAGCCCTTCAACAATGCTTAGAAAAGGAGCCTTCCGGAGCCCTAAAGGTGGAAGGGTTGCTGGGGGAGGTCCTGGGCCTGGTAGAGGTCTTAATGTCCTTACACAATTATAGGAGTTTCAACGAAGATTAGGGGTACCTTATTTTGGGGTCCTTATAATAAGGATCCTACTATTAAGGGTATTACAGATGAGTCTGACCGTTTGTGCATCGTTCGCGCCCGCAGCCGATGACGTCAAGTCAGGAAGGATCGCTGTTCTGATCTGCGAAGTTCTCGTATTTCCAGGCCTCTTCCGGACAGCCCAGTGCTCCTTAGGATGGTTACCGAGCGTGCCTGGTGGTGGTTGGCGCTGACTTGGAGGATCAGGGGACTTAATAAGTAAGGCTATAAGTCCCCTAATTGGGGTTATAAGTACTTGTAAGTATATAGGTCTAGTTTATAACCCGAGTTACTAAGTTCAATGATCCTTTAACTTCCTTAAACCCGCTATAGATCCCTCAAAGGAGCCCTTTAAGGAACCCTTTAAAGTTACTAAGTCCCATGATCTTTTAAGTAGACCCTAAACCCTAAACTCTATAGATCCCTTTGAGGAACCCCTATAGATCCCTTTAAGGAACCCTATAGATCCCTGTAAGGAACCCTATAGATCCCTTTAAGGAACACTATAGATCCTTTTAAGGATGTGGGGAATGCCCACGACACATGGCCTGCGTCCATCTATGGACCAAAACATCTCCCGTGCGGCTACTTTTTGAGCTTAGGGTTTAGGGGTGGGGTTTAGGGGTTTAGGGTTTAGGGGTTTAGGGTTTAGGGTTTAGGGCAGTAGGTCAGTAGGGGGTTTAGGTTGTTGAGGGTTCCCTTTTTCGGGAGTTTAGGGTTGAGTAGATAGCATGGCCTTTTTTTTGGGGGGGTGTTCGACTCCCAAAGGTTGACCTTTAGTTCACCTTTAGAGGGTTTGGGGTTTAGGGTTCAGGGAGTCTTCAAGCAAGGATGTTTGCTGCTGCAAAGAGTTCGGCGACACCTTTGAGTTCCACGACGCGAAGCAGATTTACCCATACTGCCAAGCATTGAAAACCTTCAGGAGCGACCGGCCCTTCTGGTACTACCCAGCCAGAGAGAGAACTCTCAAAGCAAAGTGCTGTTGGACGAGTGGTTGGACCTGCGGCTCCACCGGAGACCATGACAACGCCGGGACGGAAATCCCCTCCGAGCAGCATGGAGAGAGCTGCCCGTACCAAGGCCCCGCGGCAACCCCCGAAGGAACGGTGCAGGTTCCGGACACCTGGGAAGAGGTTAAGGGGAGCTGTTGCTGCAAGGAGGGGGTCCTTGAGGGCGTGTGTTCCGCTTGGAAGAATCTGCGAGGGGTCGACCGACCCTTCTGGTTCTATTCCCGTGGCTACGGTAAACCTGGGCAGTGCTGTTGGGCAGGCGACATGACCTGCTTGCCCACGTTTGGCATTTTCGGGTCTGATGGATGCTGGCTTCTTCTTTGGGAACTCACTTTAAGTCACTCATAAACTCGCGGGTTTAGGGTTTAGGATTGAGATTTGGGGTTTAGGAGATTTCAACTTAAGTTGCCACAAACTAGGCTTTAGGGTTCAGGAATGAGGTTAAGTTTTTAAATGGGACTTAGTTGAAGTTGCCATACGAGGGGTCATATAGTCTATAGTCTACAGTAGGCAGCCAGATCTAGACATTATGGAAACTTCAATTCGTTCCTGCGCAAGAACCCAGGAAATGGTGGCGACCAGATTTCCGGCGATGCTCCGAGGGAGAGGAAGTGCCCTTCGTTGATTCCGCATGGAACCGTGAAGCCTGCTCAGCCGAATGACGAGTACAACAAGATCATGTCGGCATCTAGGTTCCTGAGTAGTACACTTTTGCCCTTGTTATTTTGCGGTCCCCTTTTTGGAACCGAATAGTGAAGAAAAAAGGGTAGCCTTATTATACAGGGTCTACTCAGAAACCCAGGCGTTCAGGCTGAAGATTGCGAAGATTCTCGTCAGCAAGGCTGTCTCATTTGCTTGGGGCTCGGCCGATGCAAATGAAATGCTCAATGAGAATCTAGGTGGCTTTTTGGGAAGTTTTTGAAGTCCCCTTTATGGTTCCTACCGAGTACCTATACATACATCCCTTTAAAGGAGCCCTTATATAGGTCCCTTTAACGGAACCCCTATAGATCCCTTTTAAGAGCCAGGAACGTGATGGATACTGGACTTATCCAAGAACACTGCGGACTCCCTTTAACGGAACCCCGAAGATCCCTTTTGAGAGTAACGGAACCCTTAAGATCCCTTTTAAGAGTAACGGAACCCCTAAGATCCCTTTTAAGAGTAACGGAACCCCTAAGATCCCTTTTAAGAGTAACGGAACCCTTAAAATCCCTTTTAAGAGTAACGGAACCCCTCAGATCCCCTTTAAGAGCTCCGAAACTGCGAGCCAGGAACGTGATGGATACTGTGGACTTATCCAAGAATGCCGCAGACCAGGCCAAAGAGGCCTTGGCCAAGAAGGAAGCCGGGCTCAGGTCGAGGAAACAGGAAGTTTCCGAAAGGGGTGCCTAAAGTTTTTATAGGGATCTATAAGGGTTCCTTTAAGGGTTCTTTAAGGGGATCTATAGGGTTTAGGGTTTGGGGGTGTCCGAAACTTAGGGGTACAAAAGGATCCTACTATTTAAGGTGCTATATAAGGGTCCCGTATTTTCGGAAACTCCCATGGGTTTCAGTTACCATAGTATCCCTCCATCCTAAGCCCTAGACCTCAGACCCTAAACCTGAAACACGAGCCCAGGAAAAGGCGAAAAAGGGGCCGGTGAAGCTGACTCCAGCAATCCTGGGGCAAGGTGTCTTCGAGCCGAGGCCTACTTCCTTGTGCAAGGAGTTCCGCTACTGCTACGACGGTCCAGAAACTTAGCGGCTGAGTGGGCTAAACTTTAGCGCTTTTGGTTGAGCGGGGTTTTATATAGCCTCCACCGTGTTTATCTCTTTTTCAAGTCAGCCTGTTTTTTGAGCCAGGACATTCATCCTCTAAGGAAACATCGCAAACAGCAAGAACGCAGAAGATGTGGGATGCGACCGGCTACGTCACGGGGGAGGTGTGGTTCGATTGGATTCACGTAGTACCTTAGTAGCTGAGTGGGTACACTTTACACTTTTTTGGATACTATAATATACACTTCATACCATTTTGGGTGGTAATATTCTACACTTTACACTATTTTGGAGAATACTACACTTTAAGAAATCTGAACGAGTCCTTCTTCTTGGGACATTTTTTTCACTCTAAGGTCCCAGTGCCAGGCGAGGGGCACTGCCTCTGGGTGGTCAGGAGCCCGCAACGGTTTAGGGTTTAGGGTTTAGAGTTTAGGGTTTAGGGTTTAGGGTTTAGGGGTTTAGGGTTTAGGGTTTAGGGGTTTAGGGTTTATTTAGAGTTTAGGATTTAGGGTTTAGGGTTTAGAGTTTAGGGTTTAGGGTTTAGGGTTTAGAGTTTAGGGTTTAGGGTTTAGGGTTTAGGCCTCTGGGTGGTCAGGAGCCCGCAACGTGCCCGTGAGTTAAAGGAGTCCACGACGCAGACCTCTACACAATGTCCCACAGGTGGGTGGGTCCTTATAGTAAGGATCCTACTATTTAGGGTAGTATATTAGGGTCCCTTATTTTTGGAAACTCCCATATAGATGGGTGGTTGTCGAAGTTAGGGTCCATTTTTGGGGTCCCTATTACAAGAATACGGCACCTAATGTTTAGGGTACACAACAAGGAGCCATAATTTTGACAACTACCCAGGTGGCTTCCCCTTACAAAAGCAAGGGAACATGGACCCCGTGGGTGAACTTCGGCAAGAGGCCCAGAAGTTCGCCGGCTACTTTGATTCTGAAGAGAGGGCCGAGGGCCAGTGAAGCCCTCAGGCACGATGTACGCCCGTGGCCGTCCAGTCGTTGCAGCCGGGAAAAAAGCCAAACGGGAATTCTGGAAATGATTCACCCCCTACACATAGAGCCGGAACAAGATGATAGGATCCCGTGAACAAAGGATCCCAACATTTTCGGAGATCCTCATTCCTTGCTATGTTAAGCCTAAACCCAACCCCTAAACCACCCCTAAACCCCTGAACCCCTAAACCCCTGCACTCCTAGACGCTAAACCCTAAACCCTTAAACCGTAAATCCTAGACCCTAAACCCCAAACCCAATGCTAACTCGCGAGGTGCCCGCGCGCTTTCGCCGATGCCAGTAGCTTGAAGACGAATCGGCAAAAGCCACGTGCAGTTGAGTTTAGGGTTTAGGGTTTCGGGTCTTATGCTGCTGGGTTCAGCATTTATGGCGTCTAGGGTTTAGGCACGCTTCATGTCTGTCGTGCATTCCAATGTGTGTGAGAGGCAGCTCTAGTGATGATGCACGAGCCATTGGGTATGTTGTTACGGTATGCCAAAGACCAGTAAAGAAGAGCCGTTGCAGTGCTGCGGGAGCGAAGTCGCAGCAGGTCTTCATGGTACACAGGTTGCAAGCCAGCCATACTGTTGATGATATAAATCCTGCATTACCTTAAGGACTCAAACTTTTGGGAATTACTGCGGCGATGTATGGTATATTCATTATTATGGGTTATGCAGGATTTATATCATCAACTATCGCCACTTTCCCTGTTGCATAGAGTTTCCTGGTAGGTTTCATCATGAAGGTCCGTTGTTCTGTAACCAAAGCAGGAGCCCCCCAGCAGCATAACCTGCAAGCGATCGTTTGCGTCCCATGACCCAAAACCCAAATCCCTAAACTCCTAAACCCCTAAACCCCTAATCCCTAAACCCCAAACCCCTGAACCCTAAACCCCAAACCCCTGAACCCTAAACCCTTAATCCCTAAACCCCAAACCCCTAAACCCTAAACACTAAACCCCTAAACCCCAAACCCTAAAACCCTAACCCCTAAAACCTATACTATTTTAGTAAAATGGGCCCCAAAGCCTTATTCTAATTCTTAAGGCCCTATTTTTAAAACCTCATGCCTTGTTTTGCGAGCCATGTTTGGAGCAGCGGGAAGCTTCCGTCACCTGCAGTGGTCGGAGCACCAAAGCAGGCACCGGCGAAGTGCCACAAAGTTGCGACAAAGTTGGAGGTGGGCAGACAGCGAGTGTAGGGTTTCGGGCCTTGGGTTTCGGGTTTTGGGTATAGGGTTTAGGGTTTAGGGTAGAGGTTCCCTGAAGGGTTGTCGGCTCTAATCCAGCTTTTCTTGCAGCCGTACAATGCCTTGTTTAGGCGGCGGCCTGCAATGATCTTCTTTGGAAACCTGATACAGCAGCATGCGCAACCCTAAAGTCAAAATCCTAGAGGCTAGAAGGGGCCCCCACCCTGTAATAGTGGTATAATAGGAATATAATAGGGCCCTAATATAATCCTTATAGTTACGATTACAGGGTGGGGTCCCTTTTTGTTACGTGCCGTATTATAATAGGGACACAAAAAAGAACCCTAATATTGACAACCACCCACATAATTCTAGAAGCTCTCAAACCCCGGATCCTAAGCCGCAAAGCATGCAGCCCCGAAACCTGAGCTCAGGTAAAGCCATAAAAAATGCCCCGCAATATAGACCTGAGATGATGGACTTCATCACATAACAACTTCTTTCTTTGATCCCAAAGCCTCAAAGCGTATCAAACCTAGAACTCGAAGCGTCATCTACCTCACACCTACGGTGTTTTTGCTTGTCAAAACACCGAACGAAGACCCTATCCTTGAACCCCGAGCCCCTAAACCCTAAGCCCCTAGACCTTGAATCCTAGACCCTAAACCCCTAAACCCCCTAAACCCAATCCCTTAACCCTCTAACGTCCAAATCCTAAAGCCCTATTATTATTACTATTATCATTAATATTGGTAATATTTTTGTTTTCATATTATTATTGCTATATTAGTATTATTATGAGCAATGCTATTGTGGTTAGTCCTATTATTGAACCCCAGATCTGACCCCCCAGGGCGCCTGGAGCCTCACTCTGGCGCTGTTTGGAACCCGATGGAGCTCGCGGCGACTGAGACGTGGGCGAAGATGCTTTGACGAAAGCCGGCCGTGCACCGGATGACACGGTGGAAGGGTTTTGGGTCTAAGGGCTCTCTTAAGGGATCTCTAAGGGTGCCTTTAAGCTATCTCTAAGGGTTCCTTTCAGGGATCTCTAAGGGTTCCTTTAAGGGATCTTGAAAAGGTTTTGCGGGTGTAAGGGGTTCACGGGTTTGGGGGTTAAGGGCCTTAGAAGGGTTTAGGCGCCGAAGAGCCCAAAACCCTAAAGCCCTAAGCCCATGAGAGTCGAAATTTTTCTGGTACCCTCGTAGAACCTTCATTCTAGAACCCTTATTACATTTAGGGTTCAGGGTTCAGGGTTCAGGGTTTAGGGTTTAGGATTTAGGGTTTAGGGTTTAGGATTTAGGGTTTAGGGTTTAGGGGAGCCCTTAAAGTACCCTTAAGTGTCCAAGGCCTAAACCCCTAAACCCTAAACCCCTAAACCCCTAGACCCCTAAACCCCTAAACCCCTAAACCCCTAAACCCTAAACCCCTAAACCCTAAAACCCCTAAACCCCTAAGCCCTAAGCCCGATAAACACGAGGTGTCTCCTGGCCAGCCAAGCCGAGCCGGAAGCGATGGCCCTGGCCTGGAAGCCCGAAAGCTGGTACGATGGGGGAAGAGGGAAGCTCAACCTTAACTCCACGTAACCTATTATTATTCTTATTCTTATTACTATTATTACTATTATATTATTACTATTATAGTATTATTACCTGACTTATATAAAGAAATCATATTAGGGAACCCTAAAAAAGTTAGGTTCCTTAGGGTCCAGGAAGGGTAAGGAGAGGCCCCTTGGCGGTGTTTCTTTTGGGGTTTTGGGGGCTGAGGGTTTAGGGGTTTCGGGTGTGGCCAAACCCCAGCCCCATACCTTGAAGCCTTTGCCAAAGCCAAGGACCCCATTGCAGAGCTCGGATTTCCTGACATGGGCTAGCAGGGCCTGGCCAGCAGCGAGGTCGGCAGAGCCTCGCCCGTACTACAGGCGCCAGCGGAAGTAAGGCTAGAAGTAAGGGACCCTAGGTTTCTACAAGGGTTTCTTAAAGGGTGTAGGGTTTAGGGTTTAGGGTTCTATAACGGTTCCACGAGGGAATTAGGCGACTCAGTAAGTTAGGTTTGCAAGTACCTCCATTGGGGTTACGTACAAGCATTTACAAGTATCGTGATTTTTTGTATCCCTAGTTACTAAGTCCCCTGATCCTCCATGTAGAAGGACCAGAATTCCGGTAGGGGCCCTAACCCTAGAAACCCGCTAGGTCCACAACCTCGAGGTGTCTTGGGTTTAGGGTTTGGGGTATCTTGGGCTTCGTCTGGGGTTGGGAAGGTGGCTTTCAAGTTTGGGTTGTCTGGGGTCATCTGGTTTTTTTGGTATGAACCCAAGGGTCATGAAAATTCATAGTATATTGATCATGGTTTAACGGCCCCATCGAGGAGGAACATAGGATACTTGTGACTACTTGGAGGGTCCGGTGACATAGTAAGTAAGTAAGGTTATAATGGTTATAAGTATGCCTTAACGGGGTTTACACGTAGGCATAAGTGTAATTCATGACCCTAGTTTCTGAGTCCCATGATCCTTTAAGTGCATGGGCACTGATTCAGCGGCCATGGTCTTTTCTGAAGTTTAGTCATGTTCACCGTAGCTCGAACGCCCTTAGGGCTCTTCGCGTAACGTCCTGTAGCCCCGCAAGCCCTATACACAGTTTCCACCATCACCTCAACCCGTTCATAGTATCAGCTGAATCTTGGCTGATCGGTTTCCATATGCCCATGAACGATACACCCTAACAGCTGAACTCTAAACTGGACAGTTATCTGAATGCTTTAGCTTTCCTTGATGCCCTATGATTCTTTGGCAGTTCTTGGCTTCGATCCGTTTATTACTACTTTAACATTTTTGATTTCTTCTCAGCTTTTCACCAAGTTTTCCGAACCACGCCCTAGAGTCTAGAGTTTTTGGTAGCAAAAGCTCGTCTCTGCAGCGCTGCAGGCTGGGTCGGGCATCCGGCATGAGCCTTCTGCTGCGAAGCTGAGACTCTGTTCAGGAGCTTCAGGCAATAAGCCCTAAACCCTAAACCCCAAACCCTAAACTCTAAACTGTAAGGTGTTGGGGTTTCAGGGTTTAGGTTATAAAGTTGGTTTGGGGTGTTGGAGGTTTAGGAGCCATTGGGCCAGGCTTTTGGGTTTAGGGGTTTCGGGTTGCAGAAAGCTTAGAAGCCCTTCGGGTTGATAATACAAATCCTGCACTACTTTAAGGACCCTAAACTGTGGGAATTATTGTATCTTCCTTATGATGGGGAATGCAGGATTAATATCATCAACCGCAGTAAGAAAGAAAGCCATTAACAAAAAGCGGAAGCCTTGCAATGCTCTTTAAACATCAAAGAACCCCCTAAACCCTAAACCCTGAACCTTAAACCCTAAAGCCCAAACCCCAAACCCTAAGCCCTGAACCCTGCTACACCCCAAAAGCCCGTGAACGCCGCCTCAGCGAGATTTCACTTAAACTCAAGGACGCCCAAGCTCTCAACCGAGCAGAGCTTCCTAAAAGCCCCTACATTCCCTTCTTGAAAGAAGATCATCTTGCAGTAGTAGAAGGTTTAGGGTTTAGGGTTTAGGTTTTTGTGGAAGTTCTAAAACTTAAACCCTACACACAACACCCACAAGAGAAATTCCAAGGGAACCCTCAGCCCTACTCGAGGAAACCTTCAACCCTAAATAACCGAAAACCCACAAGAGGACCAAAAACCCAAAACCCCAAAACACCGAAGCCCAAAACCTTGAACCCTACTTGGAGGGTCAGGGTACCTACCAAGTTAGCCCATAAGTACCATGATTGGGATGATAAGCAAATATGGGATTCTACGAAAATAGGGGGACCCTTAAAAGGTACACTAAATTGTAGGGTTCCTTCTTATAAGGACCCCCCAAATAAGATACCCTAATGTCGGAGACTCCCATAAGTGCATAGCTACCTTTCTTTCACTACATCCCAGGAGCCCGACCAGGTCCTCATGTAGGAACCTGATTAGGAGACCTTGGGCCTTCTTAAGGGTTCCCTTAAGGTAAAAGCCCGAAAGTTGGAATATGATTATCCTAACCCTTCTATGGTAAATTATAGGGTATCCTACCATGAAACCATATTCCAACTTTCTGGAGTTCCCTTTACAGGGATCCTGATATATTGGGGGTTATAGGGCCAGGGTTTCTTAATCATACATTACACCCTACACCCTAACACCCTAACACCCTAACACCCCCAGCCCTTACAACACTTAGGTATCAGCTTGGGATACTTTTTTTTTATAATTTCCCTAATCCTAAACCCTAAGGCCTTTTCAAGATCCCTTAAAGGAACCCAGGAACCCTGGTAGTAGATACCGTAAAGCTTAAACCCTAACACCCAAAACCCAAGGAAAGCCGAGTTCTGCGGATCTGCCGGGCCTCGTGCTGTCCTGCGCCTTGCTGGCGGCCGGGTCTCCGGAGGAGAGGGTGTAGTGTTTACTCCAAGTATAGATCATAGCACGCAAAGCTTTGTGGGTCTCTTGCCTGGCTTGGGCACGGGGTGTCAGGGGGGGCAATGTTGGAAGCTTTGTTTCAGTTTTGGTCGGTGGGAGGGGGCGTGTGTGGTTCGCGTGCTATTGCAGTGTGTTCAGCGCTCAGGTTTATAATTGAGAGTGAGTTCGATACCCAGGGATTTTGTTCAGGATTCATCGAAGATGAAATCCGCCAGGAGTAGCCCCAAAGCCCAGCTCAACTTAGTGTAATCGGAGGATCATCTTCAGCTGGGGCTCTCGTTAATTATGGGTGTAGTTACCTCGTCTATGAACCTGTCTTCAACCTTTGAGCAAGCGACGCTATCAGAACCCTGGCCAGAGTTCATATGTCCCGCGTGCATGCAGACAGTTGGAGCATGTGGTACATTGTGCTGCTGTGCTGCTCTAAACCCTAAGCAATAAACCCCAAACCCAGCCTTGGATACGGTTGATGATGTATATCCTGCATTACCCATAGTAAGGAACATACCATAATTCCCCTAGTTTAGGGTTTTCAAGGTCATGCAGGATTTATATCATCAACCGTATCACTGTTTGTCATGCAGAGGTCTTAACTACCGGCTCATCCTGGTCAGGAACTCTACTTGAAGGCTCATGGGACTTAGTAAGTAAGGTTATAAGTAGACTATAATTAGGATAGCCACACTTAGGGGACTTATAACCCCAATTATAACCTACTTACTAAGTCCCATGATCCTCTAAGTAGCAGATCTGCAGTTGCAAAAGAGCTCATAAAGAAAACCCAAGACCCCTTCAAGGAGGCTTAAGCCCTAAAGCACACCCTAGACCCTAACCCCTAAACCCTAACCGCAATCCCAAACTTTTGAAAACCCTACTCCAGAGGAGGAGGCCTGTCTTCATGCACGAAGCGAGGGGATTTCTCTGCAAGTTCTCCGCTCTTCCAAAGGCCACACATGGCGGGGTCTTACGGTTTAGGGTTCTAGTTTTTTTTTTTTTTTTTGATTTTGGGTTTGGGGATTTTTAGGGTTGGGGGGTTTAGGTTTTACCGGTGTGCCGAGACCCCCTCAACTACCCTCTGATGTACTCTAAATATCCGCTATTAAGGGCCACAAGGGCTCTTTTAAAGGGCACTTGGGGGGTCCTAAACCCTAAACCCTAAACCCTAAGCCCAAGCTGGTAGTTTTGGGGGTTGGGTGTTTCGGGGTTCTAGGGTTTGGGCTTAGGGAGGCGCCTTGATGGATCATTGGACTTAGTATTTACTTTAGGGGCTTAAATAATTACCTATACTATTTTAGGGTTTAGGGTTTAGGGTTTTATTACCTATACTATTTTTGGGGCTCCTTGTTATATAAAGGCGCCTAGATTAGCTGTGTTTTGGGCTGCGGGCTTTGCGGGGCTTAGGTCCTCAAATGGGGGACCCTAATCTAAAATCCTAAATCGTAAGATTGAGGACCCGAGGCTTGGTTTAGTTTGCTGGGTCCCCTCGCTGGCGAGTCTGGGAATGCAAGGGACACATGTTTTCGAGTCAGAGGTCCATGTCTTCAAGTCCCATACGCCATAAACGCACCTATCTCAAAATCCTAAGCCTCGGCTCGAAGCAGCATGATCATCATCATCATCATCATCATCGCCAACCTCTACATATGTAACCAAACTGCTCAAAGTTCCTGCGCTTAAGCTTACTTCGCTCGCACAACGCACGAACTCTGTGGCCTTTTCTGATGCCAGCATCATTCCGAATCTTTCAGTAATGTACTCGACCGGAAAACGGCCCAACTCCTTGGGCCTACAGGCCGCAAGACTCCAGTTGGAGGGTCAGGGGACTTAGTAAGTAAGGTTATAAGTACCCTGATTGAGTATAGTTACCTTGTTTATAACCCTAGTTACTAAGTCCCATGATCCTTCACGCAGGCATGCCAGAAGCCACCTGAACTAAATCCCTGCAGCAACCACAAACCCTGAGCCCTTCGAATCCCTCTTGGCTCTCCTCTGAAGCCCTGAGCCCTAAACCCCGCAACCCTACGTCATCCCCTTTGAAAGGGAAGCCCTGGTGCCCTAGGCTCTAAACACACCTGAAGATTCTTCTGAGCTCTCCTTTATCGGAATCCCTTAAAGGATCCCTTGAAAGGAGCCCGGAAAGGAACCCTGTAAAGGAGCCCTTAAACGAAGCCCTTACAAAGGAGCCCTTAAGCGACGCCCGTAAAAAAGGAGCCCTTAAAGGACTGCGGCACGGGACGCTGAGCCTCATCTCAGCGTCCCTGGCGGGTCGGCCAGAGATGGCTTTGGTAAAGCTGCGGGCGATGATGGCCGAACTGGGACATCCGATTCGAGGCTCTTTGGGCTGGAACACAGTATGGAGAAAATAGGAGAGAGGTTTAGGGTCGGGTCTAAAAGGGGTTTAGGGTTTAGGGTCTTGGGGGTTTGGTGGCGTTTAGGGTTTGCATGTAGTATAAGTTGAGATGATGTTCGTCTGCAGGTTTCAAGATTCTTGCAACGTCGGCCCCGAACCTCTTACCCTAAACCCTAAACCCTAACCCTAAATCCTAGACCCTAAACCCTAAACCCCGACCCTAAACCCAAACCCGAGAAGAGGTCCTGGCGGTGGGAAGGCTTGGAACTCTCAGATCACCATCGTGGGAGTTCGTTGTCTCGGTCTCGCTGCCTCCGTGGCCCCCCCGAAGAGACTGCAGGACATCGGGACTGCTATATTGCAAGTCGTACTACCATTACTATAAGCGACTATGAGTATTACTTGTCGTAACAGCAGTTGTTATTGTTGTCATCGCTGCTACTGTGATGGCCAGTAGTTTGGAAATCCTTGAATCCTCGCAGCGCTGAGCGGCGCAAGCATTAAAGTTCGAGGCAAGGCGGCGTCAACAGCAGAGCCATTCGATTCGTAGTCGCCCCGACTGTGCCTGCGAGGAGATGATGGACTTGGATGCCTTTCGCCTGGGGAGGTACAGAGGGGACATAAAAACTCCCGGACAGCTATTTGATGCCGATGGCTGCGGTGCCATGCACTTCTTCGGTATGCGCTTGAAACTGCACAAGGACGTCTTCGTCCCACGCGCGGAGAGTCGTCATTTAGTGGAGGTGGTCCTCGAACTGGGCCTCTTCTTTCGGCCCGAGCTTCGGATTTTGGATGTGACCTTGGGCGTCGGGAACGCGCTGCTGCCGTTGCTTCAAAGGCATCCAGCAGCTCAAGGCTTTGGGATCGATATCAGCCAACAAGCTGTGGCCTTGGCCAAAGAGAACGCCAAGCTTCACAACCTGGACACCAGGGCCGTCTTGGAGGTCTGCGAGCTCAGTTTAGAGCTGAGGGCGAGGGTTTAGGGATTCTGATCAGGGGTGTTCAGGGTTCCTAATTCCTAGACCTTACATAAACCCCAAACTTAAACCTTAAACCTTAAACCCTAAATCCCAAACCTTAAGCCCTATACCCCAAACCTTAAGCCTCAAACCTTAAACCCCAAACCCCAAACCACGCGCTTCAGACTCTTCGGGCTTAGGCCTCGGAGCCGGGCAGCCTGGGAGGCTTGTTGTTAAGGGATTTAATGGAAGTTACCATAGTAAGGGAACATATTTATGTACTAACCCTTAAAAAAGCCTATAGACCCTATAAATCCTGTAAGCCCTTGACCTTGAATTCCTTAACCCTAAACCCTAAAACCCTAAGTTCCTAAGTTCTAAGCCCTATAAGGCCTATAAACCCTATAAGCCCTATAAACCCTTAACCCTAAACCCTAAAACCTAAGCCCTACAACCCTAAGTTCCTAAGTTCCTTCAGATACCATGATATACACCCTTAAAGCTAAACCCTAAGAACCCCAAACCCTAAAACCCTAAGTTCCTTAAGAAGAGCCCAGCCCTTGGGAGGTTGGAGACCTCCGGGAGCTCGAGCTCCTCGGCAAGCGGCCCTTTGATGCTCGGCCTCTCTGTGATAAAGGGCTCTTCGGGTTCCTTTAAGGGGATCCTTAAAGGGCTCCTTTAAAAGGAGGGCTCTCTTAGGGTTCCTTTAAGGGGATCCTTAAAGGGCTCCTGTAAAAGGAGGGCTCTCTTAGGGTTCCTTTGAGGGGATCCGTTCAGGGGCTTCCTGTTTCATTATCAGTCTAGAGGTACCATATTTGTGTATGACCCTAGTTTAGTTATGAAGTCCCATGATCCTTTACTGTAAATATCCTTTTGTCCTTTGATTTTGGGGTCGCCTTATTGAAGCCACCTAGTAGAAATCACGGGTACTCTTATTATGAAGGGGCTACCGGGGAACCGAGGATGTCATCCTGGCCAATCCCCCCTATATGCCGGACAGCTCTGAGCGACTGCGGGGCTATCGCGAGGATTTGGAGCAAAGTACCTCCGAGCATCTGGGCTACAGGGTGTAGGGTTCAGGGTTCAGGGTTTAGGGTTTAAGTTTTGAGCCTAACACTGCTGATGAACCCTAGGATCCTAGAACCGATCTAGAGAGATGCTTTTCGGATCGTTGGACTTGGGAGGACCTTCCGCTAGTACGCGTTGGGAAGGGGTGGTTGTTTGAACATGTTGACCTGATCAGCAGAGCTGCCGTATTCAGTCTCCAGTCTTTGGCGAAACCCAAAGTCATAATCGTATGATTCGAGTTGCCAGAATAGTGATCTATGGTAAGTAGTAGACTTTCTTCGTATGGGAGGTCGGGGGTACCTTATGTTGGGGTCCCTATAATAAGGATCCTACTATTCAGTGTAAAATATGTGAGTCCCCGATTTTCGGAAACCTCCATGTGGTAATTTGAATTAAACCCTAAACCCTAAACCCTAAACCCTAAACCCTAAACCCAGCCCTTCGCCTACGCACGCAAGGCCAGACTCGAAGCCACTGCACTCTAAGGTTTAGGCTTTACTATAGTCTCCTTATGTCTCCTTAGGTTTTTGTTCATAAAGACCCAAGAGAATATTAAATTATGTCTCCTTAGGTTTTTGTTCATAAAGACCCAAGAGAATATTAAATTATGTCTCCTTAGGTTTTTGTTCATAAAGACCCAAGAGAATTTATGTCTCCTTAGGTTTTTGTTCATAAAGACCCAAGAGAATATTAAATTATGTCTCCTTAGGTTTTTGTTCATAAAGACCCAAGAGAGTATCAAACAGATTTTCTTATTATGGTTCTAAGGGGGGGTATAGTTTAGGGTGAGTCTGGAGCAAGGTCAATCTTGGCGAGTATCGCGAAGCTGCACAGGCTCCTGACCCCCCAGGCGAGCTGCACACCCAAGACCCGCAGGAGGAAGGTCCTACTACTTGGAGAGTCAGGGGACTTAGTAAGTAAGGTTATAAGTACCCTAATTGGGTTTACAAGTATAGTTACCTTGTTTATAACCCTAGTTACTAAGTCCCATGATCCTTTAAGTACTAGAGTACTGTTACTATTTGAGGGGTTCCTTACAGCTTTAGATGCCGGATGTAGGACAATCCAAAGCCAGAAGGCCCTTGGAGTTCCATGCAGAACTATAGTAGACATCTACCCTCACACCGTATTCTAGTTAATCAAGGCCGTTGTATCATTACTATTGTTGATGGACAAAATCCTGCATTACCCTTTATAAGGAATATACCATAGTTCCCATAGTTTAAGGTCCTTAAGGTAATGCAGGATTTTGTCCATCAGCCGTAGGACTGAAGGGTTTCTAGTATCATGTGCTCCCAAACCTTACTCTAGCTGTCTAAGGCCTTGTATTATGCGACTGTCTTTTAAACGTCAGGGCAAGCTGGTGCTGCAATTGCCGACGGGCGAAACGCAGCTGCTCCGAAGCATGTCGTTCTGCTCTTTCCGGAAGGTTTAGGGCTTAGGGTTTTTGGAAAGGTTGATGGTTGAGGCTTCGTGTTGTGCTGCGCGGGTAGTCAGTCAGAGCAAGCGAGCTTTTTCAGACTTCCGCCGGTCCCTAAACCCTAAACTGCCCATACAGGTTGGCTAAAGCTTGAACCAAAACCCTGCAAGCCCTAAGCCCTACTTAAAGGATCATGGAACTTAGTAACTAGGGTTATAAATAGAGTAGCTATACTTTTAAGTACTTACAACCCCAATTAGGGGACTTGTAATCTTACTTACTAACTCCCCTGATCCTCCAAGTAGCACCCTAAACCCTAAACCCTATAGATCCCTTTAAGGAACCCTATATAGATCCCTTTAAGGAGCCCTTTAAGTAAATCTTGAACCCAAACCCTGCAAGCCCTAAGCCGCAAGCCCCAGACCCTACAAGTCCTGAGCCCTGAACCCCTGAATCCTGAGATTAGGGTTTAGGCTTTAGGGTTTAGGGTTTAGGGTTTTTGGGGTTTAGGGTTTAGGGTTTAGGGTTTAGGGTTTAGGGTTTAGGGATTTAGGGGTTTAGGGTTTAGGGTTTAGGGTTTTTGGGCTCGGAATCCAGGCTTTGTGCGCAAGTCCTTTGCAAGTTTGGTGCGTTCTCGGTGGAGAAATCGACCCGGAACACACTGACGCTGGCCACCCGCAAAACGCGCAGAGAAGGGTTCAAGGGTTCTTGAAGCGCAGACCCTAAACCCCAAACCCTGAACCCCCTAAACCCCTAAACCCCTAAACCCCTAAACCCCTAAACCCCTAAACCCTAAACCCCTAAACCCCTAAACCCCCTAAACCCCTAAACCCTAAACCCCTAAACCCCTAAACCCCCTAAACCCCTAAACCCTAAACCCCTAACCCCCTAAACCCCTAAATCCCTAAACCCTAAACCCCTAAACCCCTAAACCCCTAGCCCCCTAAACCCCTAAACCCTAAACCCCTAAACCCCTAAACCCCTAAACCCTAAACCCCTAAACCCCTAAACCCCCTAAACCCCTAAACCCTAAACCCCTAAACCCCTAAACCCCCTAAACCCCTAAACCCTAAACCCCTAACCCCCTAAACCCCTAAATCCCTAAACCCTAAACCCCTAAACCCCTAAACCCCTAGCCCCCTAAACCCCTAAACCCTAAACCCCTAAACCCCTAAACCCCTAAACCCCTAAACCCCTAAACCCCTAAACCCTAAACCCCTAAACCCCTAACCCCTAAACCCTAAACCCCTAAATCCCTAAACCCGGTCTCAGGGTTTTATGGTGCTTTATGTAGAAGACTAGGATGCCCAGTAGTACCCTTATTCCCTTTTTGTAGTCCTAGGTTCCTTATAAAGTTACCCAATACCAAAAAGAGAGGCCTTTTTATTCTTAGGTTACTGGGTATCCTAGTTCTTAAGGACTTCTATTTGGACTCCATGCAATTCATACAGCCGCCTTAATGATTAGAAGAGGGTTTTGGGGCCCATGATACTATAATGATAGTAAGGAGCCACCCAAAATAGTATCATAACAAGGAAGCTGGGCACAGGTATCTTGCTTAGGAATCAGGTAGCGTCCAAGGCTTTGGCTCGTGCGCTTTGGGGCTTGGGCTGCAGGGCTGTTCTGTGGAAGTTACTATGGGGGCCTAGATAATTACCTAATGTTGGGGCATCCTTACTTTATTTTTAGTATAATGGGCACCAAAACCCTATTCTAATTATTAAGGCCCCTGTATTAGTGTCCCTTGTATTATTAAAATTACAATTATGATTGGGGGAAGTATCCCCCATAGGAGTACCTAGGCTTACTGTCTTTTGGGGTTTCGGCGGTTTCAGAGCACGCGGATGTGCAAGTTGTTTGTTCATCGTCATTTCTGAGCTTCTGACCTTTCAGGCGTTTCTGCGTTGGGTTTGAGGGCGTAGGCTGACTAAACCCTCGACCCTGAACTCCACACCCCCAAGCCCCAACCCCTAAACCCTGAAGGTTTAATCTACAATCTTGAATCTTAAGCCATTGCTACAAAGCGCAAGCAGACTTGCAAACCCTTTTCAGAGCTCAATTGAGAGCTGTATTCTGCAGTGTTGAGGGCCCTTTAATATCCGTATAATACGATATGCCTCGAAAGCCTCTTCGAATTCACCCAAGACGCGAAATCCTAAACCCCCAGACCCTCAACCCTAAGCCCTAAACCCTCCACCCGTAAGGCTAAAATCACCCTTCGAGAGCCCTTGCAGGAGACCCTAGGATTTAAGCCATCAGCCCTAAGCCATAAGAAACCATGAACGCTAAGCCCTTAGAAGCCCTAAACCCAAAACCCTTAAACAAAAATCCCTCAACCTAGCAAAGAAGGAGGAGATCCCTACTTTACTGGCTTGCTTAAAAGCGGCAATCCTGGTTTATCCCATGCTGATGCTTTTTCGTTTTCGGGTCCCGAGCATGGCGTGCTATGTTCTCAGAAAAGACTGCGTGTACCCTTTCTCTGGAGCTCATAAGTAGAGATAATGACCGTCTCGAGACCTTTATCAAACCCCAAGAGACTTCATAATATTCCAGAAAGTCCTACGGGAAAGCTTTCATAACCCTTAAAAGAGCACACCCCATAACTCCCTGAAAAAGCCTTTACAAGCCCGCCTGTGCAACCTGCAAACCCATTCCGCAGACTTTGCTCTCAGAGCGTGGGTTGTGCAAAATCCACGGGAAACACGCCACCGGGTTGGATGGGGTTCTGCCGGGTTCTATAGGCTTTTCTTTGGGATTTGAACCCTCAGCCTAGGAATCGCACCATGCAGCTTTAAGGTTGCCGCAAATAGGCTTGTCAAGACTGATTTGCAGGCAATATATACCTGCCTTTCATCAAAGCAGAAAGCTGTTATTCTTCCTGTACCTGATAGTCTTTACCCCTCACATCACTGACGAAACTCGGCCAACAGCCAAAATAATTGCACACCGACACCCTGGTCTTGAGCCCACCGCTTCGCGATGTCGGTCGAAATCCGAAAGCCCGACACGCATCGTGACGGCCTCAGAATTTTGGGGGGTTCACGCTTTGCGTTCAAACGGCTCCGGTCAATTGTTGGGATTCTATTGAGATGCACCAGGACGAACATGATTGGCGTTGCCACTAGATCACTAGATGTTCCAGTGCTACTGGGTTCTCCCTTGACACTGGATGTCACGATGGCATTTGGCAGCAGTGGCAGTGGTAGTGGTGGTGGTGGTGGTGGTGGTGGTGGTGGTGGTGGTAGTAGTAGTAGTAGTAGTCGTCGTAGCAGTCGGAGTAGTAGTAGTAGTCGTCGTAGTAGTCGGAGTAGTAGTAGTAGTAGTAGTAGTAGTAGTAGTAGTAGTAGTAGTAGTAGTAGTAGTAGTAGTAGCAGTAGCAGTAGCAGCAGTAGCCGTAGCAGTAACACCAGCAGTAGCAGTAGCAGTAGTAATTGTGCTAGTATTGGTACATGGTAATGGCAGTGGCAGTGGTCGTGATCGTGGTGGAGGGAGGTTGTGGTGGTGGTGGTGGTGGTAGCAGTAGCAGTAGCAGTAGCAGTAGCAGTAGCAGTAGCAGTAGCAGTAGCAGTAGCAGTAGCAGTAGCGATAGCAGTAGCGGTAGCAGTAGCGGTAGCAGTAGCAGTAGGAGTAGGAGTAGGAGTAGGAGTAGGAGTCGTTGTTAGTAGCAGTGCCAGCAGTAGTGCCAGCAGTAGTGTCAGCAGTAGTGTCAGCTGTAGCAGCAGTAGGACTTTGATGATGACTATTCTGATGATGATTATGTTGACGAATAGGATGATGACGGTGATGATGATGATAATGATGATGATTCCTTCATCAGTAGTAATAGCTGGGTTCAGGGTCCTCGAGCCCCGGGTTGTCGCCCGAGGACGCGAATACGCGTTCTTCGAGCTGCCGAATGCGCTGAAGGCACTCGACAAGTCCGACCGTTGTTTCCTGTGAGACTTACAGAGAGCTTTCTTTAGAAGAGCGAGTAATACTGTTGCCGAGGGATCGTTGTCATAGCTGCACTACAAGGGGCCGCGAAACACTATTCAACGATTAAGGGCCTTTTTGTTGGTCTTTGGGTTTGTTTGCAAGCGCTCAGACGCCTTGAATTCTAGACCTCACACCCCGAACCGTATCGATGCTTTTGAGTTGAGACTCGGGACTGCGTTCAGATGTCACCAGGGTGCTTTGCGGGTCTGGCGATTATGTGTTCGAAAGCCCTGCGACTAGTTTTCCAGCTGCACCTTGTGATATGAAGTTATAGATCCCCAGGAGCTCCCAAAAAAGCGGGAACATGGTGGAGCAGGGGTTGTGGGGGGTTCCTTATTGAAATTATAGTATAGTAGACCCCAAACCCAGCTGCAGGGACTTAAAACCCCTAAGCCCCAACCCCGAAAACCCCAAAACCTGGGCCTAAACCTCGAAAACCCGAAGGCTCAAACCTCGAAATCTGTCAACCCCAAAACCTTGAATCCCGAAGTAAGAGGCAGAGCGCTTGTATCACCATTAGAGCCCTGTAGAGCCCTTCACGGAACCGTTAGAGGAACCCTTAACCTTAAACCCCAAAACGCTAAGACGCAGAGGTAGTGGTCGGCTCCGATGCAAAGTGCGACAAAGCCGGAGCTGCCTTAACTGTCAATGCGCGCCTCCCTGGTTTTGGGCAGGGATTTTTCAGGGTTTAGGGTTGAGGGTTTTAGGTTTTGGGTTTAGGATTTTAAAGGGGTGTAGGTTTAGTTTAAGTTTTGGAGGTTTCTTACAGGATTTTGTGAAGTTTTGCAATCGGTTTACATTCAAATTGTGAAGAGTGTTTTGGGCTTCAGGGCTGAGTAGCATTCGTTTTTTTTTGCAGGTGTTCAGGGGTTGAGGGTTTCCTTGCAAGGGGATCCTTTCTAAAGGGTCTATACATGAACTTGGCGAGCCATAGTCCCCTGTGTATACTGACTACACGGTACCTGGAGCCCTGTCCCCTAATCATTCAGTCCCCAGTTCGGGTTGGAGGATGTTGTTGTTGGATACATGTTGTTTGGTAAGTATAGTTGAAGTCCTCAAGCCCTAAAGACTTTCTGAACCCTGCCCCATGGGATAGTCAATTTTGAATTCTAGACGTTTTCTTTCCGCGGTTCGGGTCAAGGAGTCTTCCTTCCGTCTGGGCGGATTGCATCCTACTTCAAAGGTTCACTTAAAAGATCATGGGACTTAGTAACTCGGGTTATAAGTAAGGTAAGTTTACATACACTTACTTATACCCCCAATTAGGGGACTGATAACCTTACTTACTAAGTCCCCTGATCCTCCAAGTAGCGTCTTCGGGGCAGACATCTCGCAAACGGTCTGGACTGTCGCCGGCGAAACTTCAGGGTCTGTAGGGTGCTCAAAACCTACATCCCTAGACTGCCGGTTGGTTTAGGTTGTTCGGTTCCGTGTTTGGGCGGTTAAAAAAGCACCGACATGCGAATAGTTACTGCGTGCCTGGAGACTCTAGCACGGGATTACGGGCCTGAGTTCCTGTGGAGAGTTTGAACTCCAAGCATCTCTAAGCGTATGCAGCCGGCAGCAGGCACTACAAGCTGTCTTAGCTGGCTCGAATGAGGACCACTCCTGACAGAATATTCCTCGGCACCGTTCACCTCCATTTGAGGATCTGCAGCTGTGCGACGGAACTTCCTCTTCTGCAGGTGAGTAAAGGGCAAGTGCATCATCGCCCTGCATTGCCGTTCTCCGCGGCCC